AGCACTGTCCCCCTGAAGCACATCCTGGCCTTGCACATCCCAGGGTGTACTTCCCTCTGTACCCCGACTTCACTGGCTCACAGCACCCTAAGTCAGAGTTTCTGATCAGTTGTTTTTGTGCATTTTTTTTTAATCCTTACCTAAGGATATATTTTTATTAATTTGAGAGAGAAAGAGAGAGAGAGAGAGAGAGAGAGAGAGAGAGAGAGAGAGAGAGAGAGAAAGAGACACATCGATGTGAGAGAGAAACATTGATCAGTTGCCTCCCGTACACACCCCGACCAGGGATCAAACCTACAACTTTTTGGTGTACAGGATGACATGACGCTCAACCAACCGAGCCACCCGGCCAGGGCCCTGTGCATTTTGAACATCCCTGAAGCAGCTTCTGGCCCTACCTCACTGCCTACTTTGGCTGTGCACGTTATCCCGAGGTACCAGTTACGGTTTCTGTGAGGGGCCCATTACAGAGTCACATAGGTTTTTAGTGATCTGCCCTCACTTTAACTTTGTTTTTCCATCAGCCCTCCTACCTTTATAGTGTGATTTTATAGAATGTGAGGGTTTTCAGGAGCACAATATACCATTTCATAATTCATTTCAAGTGCTGCAGAAAGACACAGAAGGGAAGCGAGAAGGGCCACTCGTGGGGCAGAGCCTGGGGTGCAAGGCTGTCCCTGGCTGGTGGCTCTGAGCTCCATATCCCTGGAAAGCACCTCTTCCCAGCCAAAACACTAACGTGTGCTGCTTGGTCCTGCCCGGTCCAGTGCGGCAGAATACCCTGTTCTCTGTGTGTCTGCTTTGGAGAGAGGACGTAGCAGCATGAATTGCTAAATATATCCCTGAATAATGCCTGTCTCTTTCCTTTCTTTGAAACTAGTCTCTTTACTTTCTTTGAATTCCTATGAGAACATGCTCCTCTCTTTACTGAAGCCCCGACTGCATTCTGTCTTGGGCTATTACAGTGGCATGTGTGCGTGCGTGTGCGTGTGTGTGTGTGTGTCTGTGGACGCTCTATGTGCGTGTGTGTGTGTGTGTGTGTGTGTGTGTTACCTCAATTGCACTCTAATTCCTGAGAGCAGGCGCTTGTTTGCTTGCTCCCCGTGCCTCCTCCCCTTTGCCCACACAGTATCTTTCGCATGGAAAGCACTAATAAGTTCCGCTATGTGAACAAACCCTCCAGGAGCCCTGACTCATGTCTGGGCCCTTCTGTGCAGAGTGACAATGGTGCCCTGTGAATGCCAACGCAGTGGTTGGAAGGCTTCGCTTTGCATTAAAAATTTCCTATAGCGTAGTTACTGGAAATTATGCTGGGGAAGCGAAAACCAAGAAGCAGTGTAAGAACACCTTATGTGAAATATTTTATTCATCGTTTTAAAAAATTCATCAGCAGCAGGAATTACTTAATTTAGCTGCTCTGATAGTTGCTGCTTCGCTTTCCAAGGTTCTGCAGGTCGAGCGGTTCCCCGAGGGAACGGCCGTTCAGAACAAAGCTCAGGGTGATCCTGCTCAGACAGGGAACCTGCTGACAGAGGGGGTTCTGCCTCCACAGCAGGGGGAGCGTGGGTCTGGGGAGGGAGAGGAGCTCCCACATCCACTATCCCATTCCTACCGACAAATGTGCAGATATCTGCTCTGTGTCCTTGCTGTCCAGCCCCCAACAGAGAGGCGGGGGGAGTGGAGGGGCAGCGTATCTGTGGTGGGGGTGGGGTCTATGATGATTAACACGGCTGGAGTGCAGGATGCCAGGGGAACCCCGGGGGAAGTGTGGGGAGAGACAGCCTGGAGAGAGAGGACGAGAACCCCTTTGAAAGACCCTGTGGACGACATCACAGAGTGGAGTCTTATCAGGAGGAAAATAGGAAGGGCACTGGAAGCTTTCAGACTATCACGAGGACTACCATGATCACCAGTATTGTGATCATTCTTGCCAATAGCTCAGTAGCTGACCCAAAGGGCAGTCCCCACAATACCCATCAGCCCCACTGAGGAAACACATGCTCTGTTAGAAACACATGCTTGTTAAGTAACTGTAGCAGAAAGGCAAGAATGAGAGTAGCCAACACTTACAGACGCTTCCTACGTGCCAGGCACTGTGCTAAGTGATTTGTTAAAATGTGTTGACTCCATCTTTACAAGACCGGAAGTTGAGGCCCCTCCATTAGTAAGTGGTGGTGCTGGGCCTGGAACGGTGCAGGCTGGGTCCAGAAGCCTCAGTGATCACCCCATTTCCCACTTTCAACTAGGCTGTTGCCCCTACGCTGCTGCCACAGAGAAATTCTGAAGTCACTGCTGACCGTGGCAAGGCGGACAGACTGCACGCAGGGGTAACTGACAGGAGTGGTGCACGGATGCTGGGGAGGCATGGGGGTGAGCAGGCGCAGGGAGGGGACGAAAGAGAAAGGAAGGAGGTGACAAGACTGGATGATTCAAACGCATGTGAACCCTGAGCACCAAGGCTGGGACCTGCTACTTTGATGTCTCAAAATACTAAGAAATTTTTATTATTCTCAGTTGGATTATTCTCCAGGTTTAAGTCATTAGCTTTTCCTAATAAATTCAATCAGGTAGGTGCAATTAAGCTCTTTTAAATTTTTTAAATTGATTTGAGAGAGAGAGAGCTAGAGAGAGGCATCCATTTGTTGTTCCACTTATTTACGCATTCAGTCACTGATTCCTGTATGTGCCCTGGCAGGAGATCAATGTGAGAGAGCACACCGATCGGTTGCCTCCCGCACATGCCCCCGCAACCTCCCATATTGGGGTGACATTCTAACCAACTGAGCTACCTGGCCAGAGCCAACTCAGCTTTTTAAATAATAAAAAGTAATAAATGAATAGCCCTTTTGGATCATCAACATTCACTGCAACTACTTCATTAGACCTTAAAGCAGCCCTCCTGTATGAGTTTGCTGGCGCTGCTGTAACAAGGTGCTGCCAACTGGGAGGCTTAACCGACAGAAATCTGCTGTCTTGCCCTCCTGGAGACCAGCAGTCCGGGTGTCGCCTGGGCTGTGAGGGAGCATCTGTCCCATGCCCGTCCCCTGGCTTCTGGTGACCTGCCAGCCATCGTTGGTGTCCCTTGACTTCCAAATCTCTGCCTTCCTCTTCACATGGTATTCTCCCTGTGTGTGCATGTCTGTGTCCAAGTCTCCCCTTTTTACAAGAAACCCATCATATTGGGTCAGGGGCCCACACTACTCCAGCATGACCTCATCTTAACTAATTACATCTGCCACAAACCTATTTCCAAGTCAAGCCACTTTCTGAGGCACCTGGGGGTTAGGACTTCAAAGTAAAAATTTGGGGAAGGAGACACATGTCAACCCATCACACCTTTATAGCAGGTAAAGCAGGAATTACTCTTATTCCCATTTTAAAGATCAAGAAACTGAGTCTCAGAGGGTTGAAGTCATTTCCCCAAGGCAGGTCCATCCCAGGGACACAAATGCAAGTCTGTTGCCTAACTCAGTGGCTGAGAGAGCCAGACAGGGCCTCTTGGCTGTGAGGTCGTCTAGCTGTTCTCACACACGCGGTCCAGTGAGAACGGAGGCTGTAGCGAGCTGAGTAAACAGGGGAGAAGCAGTCATTTGCAGTCTCCTCTTGGGATCAATTGCAGACGCCCTGGTGTTAAAAGCTCCATTCTGCTTCTTCAAGTGCTGCCCCTCTGGCTGTACCTCATGAGGGCCTGACCTCCAGGGGGGTCTGTTTATCCAAACTGTTCCTTGTGCATCTGATGTTTCTCCTTGGGAGCCCGTTCCTGAGCCGATGGGAGCTGGGTACAAGGAGCCTATTCAGGGCAGGAAGTAAAATGCCTGTGCTTCCCCTCCTCTCTATGGCATCGTTCTTTGCCTCCGTGTGCCTTTCTTTTGTCCTGACTGCGGAGTAACATCCGTGTGGGTGTGAGCTGTGTGGGTTGCCAGCAGCGAGAGGGTGTGGCTGGGGACACCGGCCTGATGGCCTATGTATACGCCAAGGTGGGCAGCGATGGGCAAGTTTCCCAGGAACTGTTCCGCCACACACCAGCTCTGACGCGCACCTCCTGTCACTCTCCCCGGCTAAAGCTGGTGGCCCCTGGGTGCCCCTAACCAGAGAGGAGCGACACACCCTATTTATGAGCCCCCACCCTTGAGAGACAGTGTAGGAAATAGTCAAGTGCAGATTCCAGAGAGAGTCCAATCGGAGCTCTGCCACTTTCCAACCGTGTGAACTTAGGGAAGATGCTTCACCTCTCTGTCATGCCTCGTCGGTGAAATGGAGCTGATAACTCTGTTTACCTCACGGGGTTGGCGTGTGGATAAATGATATAGCCCACAGATGGTGCCTAGGACACTTCTGCCACATAATTCTAGCACTCGGTAAATGTAAGCTATACTTCCTTGTTTGCTTCCCAGATGTCATTTGTTAATCTGGTCACGGAAAATTGGCAGGAGACACAGTAAGAAGTTAACAGTGGTTATGCCCGGCTGATGGAATATTTGCTTATTTGTATTTTCTAACCTTTATGTATTAATTGTTAATAAGAGGAAATAAGGTCCCGCTGAGGACCTATGGGATGCAGTGGACTAGGTAATAGTGAATACAAAGTGAACTTGACCACGGTCCAAGTTTGAAGTCTATGGGAGGAGACGAAACAGGTAGGTGAATGCTCCAGGAGGGAGGGATGGGCAGCAATGCTCAGGGTGGGCTGGGTGTGGCACCTGCACTATAGACATATCGTCAGTCAATCTTGTCCCAACATTCTTTGGGCGTGGTCTTCCCTGGTCTGAAAGAGGCTACAACAGTCAAATAAAAGGGTCACTCCTTTAACCTACCTCGTGCCCCAGGGGGACGGGGCAGAATTGCTGAGATGCCTTCCTGAGGCGCCTATTTCTAGGGATGTGTTGAAGAGAAAGTTGAGGGGCTTTAGGCAGCACCTCTTATGACAGATATGAGCCCAGGTTGCAAATAGGCACGTCACACGGAACTAAGTAACTTCCTGTTTCTCTATCTCTCCCTAGCATTATTAGCATCATCATTGTGTTGGCTGGAGCAATTGCCCTTATCATCGGTTTTGGTATTTCAGGTACGTGATTTCCTGCATCACCACAAGCCATTCACCCCTCACCATTGAGCCCAGCCACTCAGGGTGGCTGAAGGGAAAGAGCGAGGCTCGTGGACCCAGAGAGCCTCGGAGTAGAGCACTGGGCCTCCTCCTCACTGACTGTATTCTCTCCGCATTAGTCACCCACCTCTGTGGGCCTCAGTTTCCCCGTTTACAGAGTGGAGGGAGCAGTGTCTGCATCACCAGGTGGTTGAGAGAACCAAATGGGACGTTTATCAGTGTTCTCTCTATCAGACAGCGCTCGGGGGTTCTGGGTCACAGGTGCAGTGCTGCGGGGCTGAGCTGCTCTACCAATGGCCGGCCTGGATGGATGATTCCTTTGCAATGAAGTCTCAGCTGGCTTGTTAAAGAATATCAAGTCTTGCTGAAACCAGTTTGGCTCAGTGGATAGAGTGTTGACCTGCGGACTGAAGGGCCCCAGGTTTGATTCCGGTCGAGGGCATGTACCTTGGTTGCGGGCACATACCCAGTAGGGGGTGTGCAAGAGGCAGCTGATCAATGATTCTCTATCATCAATGTTTCTAACTCTCTATCCCTCTCCCTTCCTCTCTGTAAAAAAAAAAAAATCAATAAATTTTTTTAAAAAAAAGAATATCAAGTCTTTGCACACAGGGGTCTCAGGGAAACAGAAGACCGGCTATGGCTTCCATGTAGTCTCACATAGGAAGCATGGATGGTGCGTTTCGGAAGACAGCTATCTGCTGGCAGCTGCTGGGAACTGTCTTTTTCTTCCTCTTCTGTGTCTCAAAAGCATCTGTTACTTAAGCCACATTAATTAAGACACTGGGTGAGCTGGCCAGCAGCTGTCTGCGCTGAGGCGAGTGCTTTGCTCCTATTTCCCTGCAGCTGTCTGACTCAGGCCAACACAGTGAGCTCAGTCTGTGGCCAGAGCTGTCACTTCAGAACTTTATAGTTTCAGCCGCCTTTTCTCTGTCACTCCTCTCCACTGTGGGCGTGCTGCCAGCCCGGGTGGCCGTTTAAGGAGGGAGCGGCAGGGGAGAGGCCCCTGACCCTGCCTGGTCCCTGTGCTATCATCGCTCACTCGCTCACTGGATGGCTTGGGGCAGCTCTGTGTGGTGGGAGAGCTCTAATCTCTGTGTCTGGCGCCAATGGTGTGTGTCCATTTGGGTATACCTTAACTTTCCAGGCAGTTTCCTCACGGGTAAGGCGGTCAGAGTAGTTGTGGGGACTAAATAACAAGTATTTGCACAGTGCCTGGCATGTGTGTGGAATAGGTGGCTGCCATTGTTATTTATGGTGACACCATCAGTGCTGTTCAGAGTTTGCTGGTATTGGTGCATTCATATACCACCTCCTGAGACGTGCACAATTTCCGGCCACACCAAGGCAGGCCAGGCCCCCTCTGAAGTTAGGGAGGCCAGGGCAGGAAGCCACAGGACACAAATTCTCCATCTCTGGACACTGGGCAAACGTTACTCAGTAAGCCAGTCAGGGATGTGCTTATGGCACCAAAACAGGAGCATTCAACAAATTGTTTGGAACAAAATGGATATATTTTTTAATTGTGGTCATCTGAGGAAATGAACAGCTATTGGCTTTTCTTATACTTGTATTATAGTTTTTAATTGTTTCTATATTTATAAGAGGTGAGGAGGCCCTCTACATATCTCAGTGTGGCCCTAGATATCAGGAAAACGTGGAAGAGCACAGGCTTAGCACCGGATAAGATGCAGCTTGACACTAGCTCTATTGCTCGCTACTTAAAGGGCTTTAGGAAAGCCATTTAGTCCCACAGAGCCTCCTTATCCTCATTCACAAAATGATCATCTTCCCTCCCATGGTTTTATCAGGCTTATCACGAGTGACTGTAAGTACTTAGTAAACTGTTTCTTTCCTCCTGGTACTCTCATCTGCCATCCTTCCGAATGATTCTAGCTAATAATAGTTCATCAATACCACGACTGAAGGTTTAACACGTGGCAAATCAGGTACTGTAGGAAGCTCTTTACCTGCGTGGTATCATTTAGACCATCGAGGGAACTACTATTTTTAAACATCCCCATTTTATAGGTGAAAAGCCATGGGATAAAGAAGTTAGAAAATTGCCGAAACCAGTTTGGCTCCATGGTAGAGCGTCGGTCTGCGGACGATTCTGGTTAAGGGCATGTACATTGGTTGCGGGCACATCCCCAGTAGGGGGTGTGCAGGAGGCAGCTGGTTGATGTTTCTCTCTCATCAACGTTTCTAGCTCTCTATCTTTCTCCTTTCCTCTCTGTAAAAAATCAATAAAAATTAAAAAAAAAAAAGTTAGAAATCTTGCACAAGTAAGGGGCAGAGCTGGGATTTGAACCCAGACAGCCTGATACCTGCGCCTTGTTCTCAGACACTATGCTCTGCTGCCACTTCCCTACCGTGTGCCCTTATCTAGTCCGGCCCAGAATCCTTTCTAGTTTCTTCTCACAGAAGCACTTGCTACCACCAGCCCTGCCCTCTTCTCTGGCAAGAGTGGGACTCACATACTCCACTGGCACAGGCGTAAACCTTTGTGTTTCCACCTTTAAGCCATGTGCTGTGGCGCCCATCTGGACAGCTGGGCTCCAGCAGATGCTGAGTGACCATCTGCTGAAGGCTTCCAGTATCCGCTCTCTGTTACTGGAAGCTACAGAACCTGTCTTACTGAGTCCTTTCAGAGGGAAGTTCATTTTTCAGGTTTTATCCAGTGTTGTTGGGCATCCCAGAATCATTGTTTTTGTAAAGAATCCTTGCCTTGTGTTACCTGAAACCTCATTTTCCCAGAGATGCCTGCTCCTACATCAGAGGGCAGTTGAATAGTGCTCAGATTTCACTTGCTCCCCTGTGACAGTCATTCATTTTCAGTAAGTGACTGGTCTTCCAACTTGAAAGGAATTTGATGGGCTCTTAGAGGCCAATGAAATCCTTAGAATATGTGCCTGTTTAAATTAACAGAATTCTCTATTAATAGATAGCTGCTCTGCCCAGCCAGGATAGCTTGGTGGTTGAATGTTGACCCATGAGCCAGAAGGTCACGGTGCAATTCCTGCTTGGGACACATGCCCAGGGTTGAGGGCTCCATCCCCAGTAGGGGGCATACAGGAAGCAGATTCTCTCATTATTGATGTTTCTCTCTCTAAACATCAATGAAAACATGTTTTTTAAAAATAGCTGCTTTTAACTCATCCCCTACAGCCCTGTGGTTCACCAAATCACCCAAACGCTAGCCCCTGAGGGCTCTGAGGCCTGGAGAGTCATATCAGACCAGTCTGTGTTTCCTAGAGCACAGCTCCTTGACTCAGTATTTGTTTGCAAGTATGTATATACATTTATTTTTGTGAGAAGCAATATTTATTCCCTGTTGTTAGCATATTCAATTTTATTTTATCCCCTTTTTATCATCATTTATTCAGCTAACAAGTATTTATTAATTGCTTTCTGGGTACAAAACAATGGCTTGGTCCTCATGGTGTTTTAAGATCTCACAGGCCTTCATTCCTCCTCTTGATTTGATATGTGGAGGGTGGAGTTTAATCAACATTACACTCATTCCATCTGCCACGTCTGCAATGCAGCCTTAACTGGTCTGGAACCCACAGTGGTCCCTGGGGCTCCCACGGCTGCTACTTTTGCTCATTAAGTTCTCTAAGAGAGAGTTCAACAAGTCCTCCACCGTGGGCTCAAGGCCAACGCATTACAGTTAATTCGGTAACACAATTACCGAACTAAGATATGTCATTACCATTTCATTCTCTCCATAAACTGTGCTAATTATGTATCTTTCCTGAAAAGTGATTTTTCAAATCAACTTTAATGGCACTTTATAAAGTACAGTCAAATTTACCTTTGTTCTAATATAGTTACATTTGCCTTATGGTTTTATTGAGAATCTCTATATATTTTCATTGCTTTTAAATATAAATATATATTCATATATATACATATTCATATGTGTACATATACATATAATTTATTTGAGAGGAAGGGAGAGGGAGAGAGAGATAAAGACATCAATGATGAGAGAGAATCATTGATCAACTGCCTTCTGCACACCCCACATTGGGGATCAAGCCCACAACCCGGGCATGTGCCCTGCCCAGGAATCGAACCGCCCTGCCCAGGAATCGAACCATGACCTCCTGGTTCATAGATCAATGCTCAACCATAGAGCCACACCGGCCAGGCTCACTGCCTTCTTTTTCACTGGCTCACATTTCCCCCAATATAGATGTGGTAATCCTGCCAAATATTCCTCACTCCTAACATCATTTTGGATAGAACTATTCAACAGTCCCTTGCTTTCTTCTGACTTCCATTCATTTATTCATTCACTAAACAAATACCTATTTTTTGCTCAGGTATTTTACATAAAAAAATACCAGAAGTTTATTTTCTTACAGTTCTGGAGGCGGGGAAGAACCCTCAGGCCCCACGTGGCCCATCTCTAAGGCTTCCATCAGAGGGAGGGTGATCAGCTTTGCTCCGTTTACTCATTCAAATATTACTCTCACCCGGAAACATCCTCACTGACACACCCAAAGGATCTGACAAAATGTCTGTGGCCCAGGAAAGGTGTCGTGAAAAATTAATCACCACAGCAGTACGGGAATTACACATACGATTTCAATAGTTTCAGCCCTTGGAAAGCCTACAGCTTAGTATCAGCTAGAAACCGGAGACAAGGTAGAGGGGAGACAGCTGCTGTGATAGAGGCACGGGAAAGCGTTCAGGGAGAGGAAAGAGAGAGCCTACTCACTCTGTCTTGGTAGATTGAAGGAGGGTTTTTGTGAGGGCTGCCATCTGAACAGCCTTGATTATAAGCAGAACGTGGATGGCTAGCTGCTGCTAAGAGAGGAGGGAACTATGAATTGGAGGTGCAAGATGAACACGGGAGTGAAGATAACAGTATAATTGGCATAACCAGTACTAGCCTGGGATGTGTGGGATATTAGTCTGTCGAGTAAAAAAAAAAAAAAAATCATTGAAAACAAGTTAAATCTTTAAAGCAATGCCAAGGCGGGGGAAGTATTTGGCACTCATATCACACAGCAAAACTTCGCCCCATCCTCTCTCATGACTTCTCTCCCAAACCTCCCACCTGCGTGGCCATGCTCTATCCCCTGTACTCTATCCCCTGTACTCTAAGACTCCAAACATCCCCCAACCCAGCCTGTGCACCTGTGTTTCCTCTGCCTTTTTTACTTATCATTTTTTAAAATATATTTTATTTATTTATTTTTATTTATTTTTTTTTTTTTACAGAGAGAAAGGGAGAGGAATAGAGAGTTAGAAACATCGATGAGAAACATTGATCAACTGCCTCCTGCACACTCCCTACTGGGGATGTGCCCACAACCAAGGTACATGCCCTTGACTCGAATCAAACCTGAGACCGACACTCTATCCACTGAGCCAAACTGGTTAGGGCTACTTATCATTTTCCTTCCATCAGTAGCTCTCTGTTCTTTCTAATACAAACCCATCTAGCTTAGCTTCTTCATGTCTGTCCCTCATCCATTGCCTAGGGCCCAACTAGACAATTCCAACCCCTGTGGGCAAGAGAGAATATCCTTATGTTCATAATGTTACCTTTGACATTTGAAAAATACCAAATATGCTTGTTTATTTTTCCATTGGAAGCAGAAAATCAATAAATCACTTGATGTGAACAGACAATATAGACTATGAAAGAATGCAGTGGGAAATGAGGGTGGAAAGGTAACAGTTAATGAGAATTTCCTATGTGCCATGCAGTATTTAGGTCTGAAGGCCATGCTGGGTAGGCTGACCTTGACTCCACAGTCCTTGGGAGCCATAGAAGACTAATGATCATGAAACTAACATGTTCATATTATTCTTTAAGCTCTACCGATTAGACTAATGCATGTAAAATATATTGGATAGAGGCAAAGATAAGAGGAAGGCATAGCAATAAGGAAGCTAGAAAGCGCTCAGCACACATTTTTCAGGCTTTAGGGAGGAGAGGTTAGTGAAGACCATTTTAATATAAGGTATTAAAGGATACTCAGAGATTGGGAAGGAACTTGACCTGAAAATCCTCAGGCTCTAATACAGCTCTGGGGATGGGGGCTCTCTCTTCATCTTTCTTTCATGGTCTTTCTCCCCTCCCCCTACTTTTTGTGTCTGGCCCACTGTCCTCTTGGGCTCAAAGATTCATCCTCGCCTCCATAACCCAGAAGGAGCCTCTCAAGAAGATTCATTTCATTAGCTCAGTCCTACAGGCGTCCCCAGCCAGCAGCCCCAGTGCAGAAAGAAGAGCTGGTCAGTCCTTCATAGACTGAGTGGGCTGTCGGTTGGGCAAGCGCAGAAAAGGCAGTGGACACATCAGGCAACGTGATTCATATCTGTTGGTGGTGTGTTTGGAGAGGAGGGGATATCTTCTGTCTTAGGCCAAAAAATAATTTAATTAAGTACCATTCTTCACTATGCCATTGCTGGCACTATAACCTTGACCGAGTCACTTATCTTCTCTCTGCTTAGCTCCTTCATCATTCAAATGGAGATAAAAGTAACAGCGCCTTAGAATCTAGCATTCTTCAAGATTCCTAGTCACATTTGGTTAACATGAGGTTTCACTCTACACCATTTCTGGTTAACTAAGAATAAACAATACCTTATATGTGTAATTACAATTTTCAAGTCAAGTTCATAAGCATTTGATTTGATCCTTACAGGAACCCTTTAAGTTAGGCAAAATAGATATATAGCATTACCTCTATTTCTCTGCAATCCAGAGAGGTTACATGACTTATTCAAGGTCACGAAGATACTGAACAGCAGTGCCAGGACTTGAGTTCTCATCTTTAAACCCCAAATCCAATATGTTCTCTTCTCATTGTCTCCCCAGGGTTGGGTTACTTGGTCCCAAAAAGCTATTATTTATTTTAGATCGCTGTAGCTATAAAAACAAACTATGTCTACCTGCTCTTTCTACCCATCTTATGTCTTCTTTCCTATGCCTTCCCTGCTCTTCTGTCTTTCTAATTTATGACCGAAGTCTCTGTGTGGCTTTTGGTAATGAAGGGTTTGGTGATAGAAGTTCCAAAGCTTGCCTTGGCACTGACCCCTGCTTCCTAAATTGCAGGCACACACTCCATCTCAGTCACGACTCTCACCTCGGCTGGGAACATCGGGGAGGATGGAATCCTGAGCTGCACTTTTGAACCTGACATCAGGCTCTCTGACATCGTGATTCAGTGGCTAAAGGAAGGTGTCATGGGCTTGGTCCATGAGTTCAAAGAAGGCAAAGACGACCTGTCAGACCAGAATGAGATGTTCAGAGGCCGGACAGCCGTGTTTGCTGACCAAGTGAGAGTTGGCAATGCTTCTCTGAGGCTGAAAAATGTGCAACTCACAGATGCTGGCACCTATACCTGTTACATCATCACTTCCAAAGGCAGGGGGAATGCTAACCTTGAGTATAAAACTGGAGGTAAGTTATTTTTAGGCAGAGGGAAAGAAAGGGCCAAAAGCTATTTGAGGCTAAAGAGTGGTTAGCTGATGAAACATAATGCTTTTACGTTCATGAGTGATTAATATCAGAAAAGACCCTCCAAGTTTGTTAGCAACCATCATTGCTGTCCAAGACCCATACCAACTTCAAAAGTAGCCCATTATATTAGGTCTTAAAATCTTTTGTTCTGAACCATAGCTTCTTCTGAATTTTCACATATATTATTTAAATAATATATTGTAGTGACAGTTGTAGAGACTGTTTTTTCCTTCTCTCTCTCCCTCCCCTAACTATTTTCTCCAGGTAGCAAAAAGATATAAAGTTCAGGAGGGAACACCCAATTTCCCTAATGGATAAACTTTTTTTGTAATCACTGGAACTCCTCTTACTTGGAGAATTTGCCTGTTGTAACAATGAAACCTAGAACTTATGTCTGTGAAGTTTGTGATATTGGCCCAAATTGTATGATGTACAATGATATCATGAGCAGATTATTGTTTGCATCTACAGTACAATGGGCCATACATGGAGCCACTGGGGAAGTGAAGTTTTGAGCCACCTCAATGATAGAAATCCCGGGGTATTTAAGACCTAGTACTTCAAAGGCTATATTGTCTTCTCTTTCTGACCTTGACATCAGCCCTTTCTGACCTTCAACCCTGCAGCCTTCAGCATCCCAGAGATGGATGTGGACTATAATGCCAGCTCAGAGAGCTTTCGATGTGAGGCTCCCCGGTGGTTCCCCCAGCCCACAGTGGTCTGGACATCCCAAGTTGACCGAAGAACCAACTTCTCAGAAGTCTCCAACACCAGCTTTGAGCTGGATTCGGAGAATGTGACCATGAAGGTTATCTCTGTACTCTACAATGTCACCATCAACAACACATACTCCTGTATGATTGAGAACAGCATCGCCAAAGCCACAGGGGATATCAAAGTGACAGGTGGGTCCCTTCATGCTTTTTGTATGGGTTTATTGGGGTGAGCATTAAATTAAAATATAATTTCTATAACTGATATATCATGTACGAGGGCACAGAAAGCTCTGGAGTTCTCCTCAGGGAGACCTAGATCAACATTCCAGTTGGGATTACACTACATAAGAAGACTAATACAAAACAATATTTATGGCATAATAGGTCAAAGATGGCAACTAAGCTTCCTCTCATAAATCTTCTGACTGCTTAGAGAGCGATGTTTAGGGTTCTGAGGCCCTAACTCAGCAGGACTGCTTTGGTGAAGCAGTGGAATGTGATGATTACTTGACATCTCTGATATATTCAGCTAGTGAGCTATATGCCAAGTCCCCCAACACTGGTTTGGTTCTAGCCTGCCTTTGAAAAGGCTTTCGATCTGAAGACGAAAGGTCTTAGAGTTTGCCTTAGTCTTATTCGGCCCTTCTCTTCTTGGTCAGCTCATGTTCCCACTAACGTGGCTAGGATTGCCTGACAGCTCTAGTTTGAACTGGCCTCCCAGGCTGAGGAGACTCAGACCCAAGGAGCCCAGCACTGGGGTCTCTTTTCAGTGCTTTAGTGCATACAAAACTTAGGGATGAGCTGGCATCGAAGAAATGCACAAACCGAATTATAACTTTTAAAACCATCCCTCTTGAGGCTAAATTGAATTCAATTTGAGTGAGTTGTAGGAATTCATTTGCATCCTGGATAGGAAACATTTATCAGACATATGATTTGCAAATATTTTATCTCATTCCATAAGTTTTCATAGGTATACTTTATTTACTTTACAATAGTTTTATTGATTTTTGAGAGAGAGAAGAAGGGAGAGGGAGAGTAACATCGATAGGATGCCTCCTGTACCCATCTGACTGGGAATCGAACCTGCAACCTGGGTATGTGCCCTGACTGGGTATTAAACTGGTCAATGCTCAACCAACTGAGCCACACCATCCAGGGCAAAAGAATGGTTTTGATAGAACAGGAAGGCATGAAGTCAGGAGCCTATGCCAATGTCCAAAGGAGAAATTATGACGGTCTTAATGGGGGCAGTGGCAATGGGAAAGAAAAGGGAAGAATCAAAAGCTAGGGAAGAAAATAATCTACAGGCCTTAGAGACACAAATGTGAAGGAGAAGAGAAAGAGCAAGTCAAATGGGCGTGATACTTCTACCCTGTTTGCTTAGGAGGTTAATAACACTGTCAACAAACAATTAAAACACAGAAGCAACAGTTTAGAAAAAAAGAAGGATTTTAAAGATGTTGAGTTAAAAGTTCCTATTGTTTTCTGGGTTAGCACGTGACCCAGCAAACGAGGGGTTTGGGGAGAACGGTCCATCCCTATTCCACATTCTTCCTTCATGAGAAGAGACGCCCACCAATCTCACCCTTCTCGCCTCTCTGTTCGCCCATCTTTCATGCCTCATCAGAGAAGCACAAGTTACTCATTTATCTGATGCGTGAGTTTATTAAAAGAAGCTAGATTTGAGAGGCTCAGCTCCTTCTTTTTTCTTATCTCTCTAGCTACCCTCAGGAAGTATCATTTCTACTCTGCTCTCCCCAGCCATCCATTTTTCAGGGGTGCGATCCGCTTGGCTGGGGAAGCCTGCCCCGGGCTGGTGCTGCCTGTCCCGGGAGATGCCTGGGCTGCAGCTCCCTTCTGAGCAGACAAAGCTCCATCTGGTATCAGACTGATTAGCAATCAAAGTGATATTTTGGTCTCCCAATTGCCTCACTCTTTTTGTCCCACTCTTTAACTGACTCAGAACTCAGCTGTAAGAAGGGGCATTGCTTATTGGGCTCCTTTGAACCCCAACAGTAAGTGTTCAAACATTTACTCATTAATTATGTGTTTAACTGACCCAGTAGCAACTGTGAATCCCGATGTAAAACTCGACCAAATTCAGAATAAGGATATGGATTTGGAAATGATCAACTTAATGGAAGTAATATTTATGAATTGGGCTTGAGCAGGATTGCCATTGTTGTTTTTACAGCTAATACTTATTGAGAGCTTACGTATGTGCCAGGTACGTCCCACACTCTTTAATGTATTAACTCATTAATCCTCCTAAGAAATAGGTAATTATTATTTTAGTCCTCCTTTATAGATGAAGAAATGGAAACACACATACATTAACTAAAGTCACACAGCTAGTAAGAGCCAAAATGAACTAAATGAGAGTGGACTATCGAGGGAAAAAACAGAGTAATTTAATTTCTTCACTTCTCTTCCCCACTTCAAAATGAGAACAATACTTTCTCATCACTTTGCAATGATGTCAAGAAAGCGAGCATCCCAGAACCTGTAAAGGTCACTGCCAAGAGGGGAAAAAATGTGTCTGAAACCAAGGACTGGCCATGGCTATTTGTACAGCCCATTCTTTATTTGGTCACCAATTATTATCTCTTTATTGGTATCATTTTTCATTTGGCTGCGTGCTGACTGGAGTGAACCATGAAACGGAGCTTGCTTTGAAGAAAGAAAAAATGGATAGTGGGGTACAAAGTTGCCCCCCAGTTGGGAACAGGTTGTATTAGGAACTTGCTGTTTGCCAGTACTTTTCCTTGCTAACCAGCCACGTGAAGAAGGTATGCAGCTTCCCTTCTCTGACCCTGAACTTGTTCTCTCCCTTTACAGACTCTGAGATCAAAAGGCGGAGTCACCTAGAGCTGCTGGACTCAAAGGCCTCACTGTGTGCCCCTTCTTTCTTTGCCATCGGCTGGGTACTCCTACCTCTCTCCTCTCACCTGGTCCTAAAATAACGTGCCTTGGCCACACAGAAACATTCAATGTCATTAGTACAGCAGGTGAGATGAGTCCCAAATGGTATGGGAGGGTCCATTGTGTGTGTGCTTGTGTTCCTAACAAGATCAAGCTGCTCCGGCATCATCTCTGAGGATGATCCCCTCCCTGAAGGAGAGACTCAAGCCATCTCCTATCCCTCAGCAACCGAGGGTATCATGTGGCCTTGATACAACATCATCAAAATACAGAAAGCGAGGCCATCCCTGAATAAGACATACACTCAATCCATGGCAGGGAGAGGTTCTGTTCTCAATAAGTGTTTGCTGAATGGTTGTAATGGTATCTTGTTACTGTTATTTTTTATTTTTTTTTTTTCAGAATCTCAGGAATCCGCAGAATGATTTCACCACAAGATATGACCTAGTTTTCTATTTCTTGGGGGAAATGAATTCATGCCTAAAAGCCTGGAGTGAACATACAAAGATCAAGAAGCAAAAAGAAGCCAAAGGCAACCCACGGAAGACTCCAATATGAACAAGATAAATCTATCATCAAAGACATGTATTCAAAGTTGGGAAAATAATTCATCTGAACTTGAGAAGTGTGTTAAGACTGTTAAGTAAAATGCATGTGGAGACAAGCATATCCCCTCCCCCAATATCTCAGGGACCTCCCCTTACCCATCCCCATTTGGGGAGTGAGAGGGTGGGCTGCTCTCCTCCCCGTCTCTGGATCTTCAGTTACCCTGCTGTAATGTCGCTCCCAGAAAGTTTCCGGTGCAGAATGCCCACCTTAAACTTCTGTGGAAACAGCAGGAAGCAGCCAATCAGCTGCACTTCCCAATAGAGGTGGCTGCACCCTGGAGCTGGGTCAAATGAGTCGCTTGTCACTATGATGCTTCCAGACGTGCCCTGGCACCTCTTCCCACCTGACAAACGCCGAAGGACTGTGGGACGTGGCTGTCATTTTAATGTCCAAGTCGTAGTTGGGTGACATTTTCTAAATGATCTGAGTACCTTCTTTTCAAAAACAAACATGCCCCATTACTTCTCAGGTGGCTTTAGCCTTAGGTGGGCTTAGAAGGGCCTCCCATCTAGATGACCACATGGGTGTTGAGTCACCACTAGGTGACAGGCTTGTGCTTTCCAGCCTGCGTGGCCTGCAAGGACCTCAGGTCTCAGCAGCATCTAGAGCAGTGAGACTCACTCAACTGAACTCATTTTGCAAATGGCCGGGGACATTGAGAAATGTTTGGAGACTTTAGCTGTCACGTTTTTGGGGGAGGGGCGCTACTGGCATCTAGTGAATAGAACTCAGCACCCTACAATGCACAGGCCATCCACCCACGACAAAGCATTATTCAGCCCGGTATGTCACTCATGCTGAGGTGAAGAAACCCTGACTCAGAATAGGAAAGGTTCTTAAAAATAGGCATTAGCCCCTGTGGTGTAGGCTGCTGTCTCAGACCAGAGAGCCAGAACTCAGTTTGGGGCAACCAGAACTTTCTGGTGGATTATCTGCAGCTGTTGAGTTTCTGAGTTCCTTTCCCTTAAGTTTTCTCTACCAATTAAGTCATGTGAGAGAGCTGCTTGAGTTCCACCTTAAGTTCTCCCGCTCTGAATTTAGATCTCAGAACCCTGCCTCGTCACATTTAAGTTAAGACAATAAAAACGTGTGCCTTCCTTGAAGCGCGCAGAGAAATCTGAAAGCAGGGACCATAAACTTTCGAAGGGAGGCCCTGAGGAACGAGGCTTTGATAGGAAAGAATATTTTGTCTCCAGCCTCCTACCCACACCTTGCACGTGTTGACTACTGCCTCCCCAGCATTTGGGGCCACCACGACTGTATTACATTTTGTTATAGGAAACTTGATTGTATAGTTCTGATCACTCATGAGAATGATTAAATAGACATTTCCTATACTGTTGCCTGCCTGGTTTGTCCAAGAAAGTGAGCGTAAGGGAAGATGAATAAAAAGTCATAGATCAGGTTCTAAAGCTTAGTGCCGCGCTTATGACAGGCACTCAGGGAATGTCTGTTGAGTGAATGGATAAATGAATGGGAGGACACGAGAGGGGCCTGAGCATGGCCAGGTCGCCGGGTCTAGTTTCTTAAAGAAACTCCACGAGGCTCACCCACCTGGCATGTCTCCATCTAGGAAAATAAGTGCTGACAGTGGGCTTGACACACATAAGTGTGGAAGGGTATATGTTGGTGGACAAACCCAGTGCTTGAGTGTCAACAAAATCTGGCTTCGACTACTCAGGAATTTCAAATTCTCAAATCTCCGAAGAAAAAACTCAAAATCATCATTCTCGGGCTTTTCACTCTTCAGATGAAGACCCAGAGGGGAAGTGTGGGTAACTGGCTATCTCCAGGTTCTATAGCTTGCCCAAAACCACACTGGTGATTGGTGGAGGAGTAAAATCTATAGAAAATGTAATTTTCAGATTCCCATAGGCCCTTTGCACAAAGGAAATATTGTGAAACCAAATCAAGAAAGCAGACTGTGAAAGCATAACATGCTCAGCCCCGCCCAGGCTAACCCCTTGGCCTTGGCCATGAGCACACAGTGATGCATCAGGCACCAGATGCGGCAGGTCAGCGGAAGTGCAAGGACCAGGACATCGTGTTCACCGCAAACATCCAGGGAAGCTCGCATCTAGACGCCAAAGGCTAAGACACTTCAGAAGTTTTAGCACACTGGAAGGAACAGACAATTCTAACTTCAAAGTGAAGTACAGCTCAGGTTGTATGAGATTTAACAGCACAGTGACTTCAAGACACTGTGTGTGATTTCAGCACAGTGACTTCAAGACACTGTGTGTGACTTCAAGACACAGTGACTTCAAAATCACATACATAATTCCCAGCCTCCCTCCAGCTGGTGAAGTCTCCACACATCCACTGGCAGCTCTAATCCAGACTGTCTCACTATGTGCCTTGCTCCTTGCTCCTTTTGACCTTGTCTTACATCCCCTTTCACATCAGCATCTCCAGGAGTTTCAGTATGGCAGCCAGGAGAGAAAATGAACAGTCTCAAAAACAGGACCTTAGGTGTGCTCTCTTTTCTATCTACCCTCAAGCAAAAATTCTTCTTTCCCCCACGAAGCTGTCTCTGAGCGGTCCTTCATCGGTACATGCAATTTAGCACAAAATCACACTCTGTCTTGTTGACGGTCCCTCTCGGCTGTCTACTTGGACTCCTTTGAAGATGATGACAAAATAGGTCTGGGAGCTCAGGTCGTCCTCGGAAGTTGCTCTTAAAAGAGGGCCAGGCAGATATGCCCAGGAAGCCTTGTTTGCTGATGTGTCTGCTGGGCCACAGCAGTTAAGTCAGAGCCTGGAAGAGGGGTCTGTGGTTATCGCTACAGGAGGCCCTGTGTCTGCGGAAAAGCACGGCTCCCCCAGATAATGATACACCTGTGTCTTCTCAAAGTCAAAAGTTGACCTTCAGCATTATCTCATCTCTTCAGTCCAAATCGAATTGCCTGGCCTAAGAAGTATTTTTAGCATGTTCAATGATAAGGTCCCTAACCCAAAACTCTAAATAAGACTTTAAATGAGAGCTTTATGGGTACCTTGGTCCTCCATCCCTTCTTTAGAACAAGGCAAAAGCGGTGCTCAGTTCATCTAGTCTGTGAGCAATAGCAGACTGAGACTATTTTCTTTGTCTTTGCAGCCCATGTTTGCAGTTTTCAAATTTTATTTGTAACCATTCATGTGCTATTTTAGGGACAACTATTTAGGTTTCGACAGATAAAATTCCAGGACCTTATGTACTTAATACGACTTCGATGAGATGGTTCAAGTAGCCATACATGACCCAAGTGGCAGGTCCAGGTCCCATCACACCTAGGTAGGGGAGGGTGGAAGTGTGATGGGTGACAGCACAGAGAGAGCAGTTTCTATTGAGAGGCAGTAGGTACTCCCAACAGAAGCCAAGTCACAGCCTGCTAAATGATATTGTCATCAGTTCCTCTCAATGTTCCTTTTACCCATCTGTTCTGTGGCCCAATCAACCTCCTCTAGGCCCTGAGTACTCTCAGTGTTTCTACCATTCTTTCCTTCAAACTCTGCCCTCCTCCCAATAAGAACTGCCCCCTAGCATCTAGCTACACATGAGATGGTAATTTATTAACTACCTTTTTCATTAGCTTAATGTATGGCCCTCCCATAGAGGCAAACCTTTATTTCACGGAAATGAAGTGAAAATATCATATAAAAACATCAAACCAGTGAGAGGTACTTGGGGTATCAGAGTGTAAACCTGTGATTCTCAGCGAGGGAGACAAAATATAGGACAAAATAAGAAAGAAAAAAAAAAAAAAACAGTGAATGATCAGAAGGGGCTTATCAGTTCAATCAATAGAGCCTTGTAAAAATTTACACTGATGTAAATTCAGATATTACTATTCTCTCTTAATATAATGAACAGAGAGTAACACAAACACAATCAGGGTAGAGGTACACGTGTCAAAAATGCCACTCTCTCCCCACCTCATCCGCTTAGGAGCCAGAGTATTGTCCTGACCTCTGTTCAGGGCCAGGTCTGAGCGTACTGAAGAGGGTTCCTGCTCCGGGCAAACGTTCTATTGCAGGCCCTGTCTCCATAGGGCCTGCCTCAATATGACCATTAAAGAGAGAGTTCATAAAAAAGCAGGTATTACATTGCCTACCTCTAACAGTTTGTTAAGATTGTCATAACAAGATACCATAGATTGGGTAGCTTAAGCAACAGAAATTCATTTCCCCATGTTCTGGGACTGGAGAGCCAAGACCCAGGTGTCAGTAGATTTGGTTTCTCCTGAGGCCTCTCTTCTTAGCTTGCAGATGGCCACCTGCTTGTTGTGTCCTCACGCGGCCTTTTCCTTGGGCGCAGGCATTCCTGGCATCCCTCTCCTTATAAGGACACCAGTCATGGTAGATTAGGGTCCACCCATATTACTTCACTTAACCTTAATTACGGCTTCAAACGCCCTCTCTCCATATACAGTCACATTCTGAGGTATACTTC